CCCCTGAGTTCCACCTCACACTCTCGCCCTTTTACGAGCATCATGTTAGTTCTGAGCGACCAGGCCACCACCGGTGATTTAAGAGGCCGCCGTGTCTAAAAATAAGCCAAATGTGAACTAATGCTGACAGACGCTTATAAACCGCCCCAGCACGGATGTAAGGGGGGCAAAGAGAGAAAAAAGGGAAACTCACTCCTCTAAAACTTGCACGTGCAACATTCCGGAGGTCTTTGGCTCGCTGGGGTCTAATTATTGGTAGCCGAATCTCCTGACATAGTGACCCCACGTGACCGTTGGTGACCCCTGTTGACCCCCGTGGATTCCTCGAGCAGACAGGGGACGTAATTCCAGATGAAATCGCAGCGAAGGGATGTAATTCATGAGGAAATTATTGGCAAAGCGCGAGTTGACCTCTGGTTTGTAATTTAGCGCTGCTCATCGATTGCCAGGAAATGGCTAGGATATCTGGATGACGGCACGCGCCGCCATTGATTCTAGTTTCCAGCACTTCCGGTCTGCATTTAACGTAACGTTCCTTCTCTGCTGGTGCAAGATTTGGAATCCTTCAAACTGTCTCAAACCTGTTGGGATTTTTTTTGGTTGTGGTTTTTATTCTTAGGGGGTTTTTTTTGCTGTTTTTTCTTGGTTTTTTGTGTTGTTGGTTTTTGTTTGTTTAGTTTTTGTATCGTTTGGTTCTAATACATATTGTCCAATTTTTTTTGGTTCCGTTGAGCATTTGATTTTAGTTATTTTCTGTATAAATAAAGATGTTTGACCTGCATGTGAACCTTACCTTTGTTCAGAAGACACAGTATTTGGTGTCAAATCTTTTTTTTTTTTTTCGTTTGTGTTTCATTTTGCTTTTCCATTCTTTCAAGTTTTAAAATAAAATAACAGTATCCTTTGCCATTGCAGAACGTATAACAGATTACTGACTAATCCAAACTTTTTCGTCCCTAATAAAACATTCTAAAATTAGCTAATGAGGAATTTACACGTCAAAATAGCCATAAAAAAATTCGTAGAACGAACATAATATGAAACCAAATAGGTCGTTAGCGCTGGCATTATTAAACGTTGTATTGTCTTTGTGCGATCGTTCTCCCTCCAGTTGACGGGTGCTGGATGTATCTGTGATATTAATGTGCACGATAATGGGCTTTAATCGGTGCAAAACGACGTCATCATCAGTCATTGGAGGAGCTGTCGGGGGGTGAGTGAACTGTACGTGTGATTTGTCTGTTTTGTTTCATAAACCCCCAGAATGCTTTACCTGTTGCAGTGTTGTGTTGTTGTTTTTTGAACAGGGGAACTCGTTACTGCTCGCTGTTGTTGGTTTTTGGGTTGCGTGTGATAACAGGTGGTGATGGTGACGGTGATGATGATGATGATGATGATGATGATGATGATGATGATGATGATGATGATGATGATGATGATGATGATGGCATTGATGATGGTGATGACTAAGACAATGATGATGATGATGATGATGATGATGATGATGATGATGATGATGATGATAATGATGATGATGATGATGATGATGACTAAGACAATGACGATGATGCTACTGATGATGATAATAATGATCGTAATGATAAAAATGATGACGAAAATAATAATCATGTCACTCTTTCTCTCTCTCCCTCCCCCACCTTTCATCCCCCCCCCTCCAACCTCCCCACCAGTAAACTGCTACTACAGCGGCAAGTACTACAACCACGGAGAGGGCATGAGCCCGCGTGTGTGCGTCACGTGCACGTGCAATGTGAGTATCTTAATCAAGGTGGACTCACCACAGACACGGTGGCGCAGAACCGCTACAATTATTATATTCGTATTGTGTTACCCACCCTTGCTGGTAGAGGTGGGCAAAATCCGAATAAACTATCCGGATAACCGGATAATTCTCAATGAAGATGATCCGAATTCAGACTCTTAACTCTCTTTCCTGACCCGTTTGCTGAAGTGGGAGCATCCATTTGTTAAAGTGGTTCTAACCCGTTTGTCGAAGTGGTTTTAACCATTTGCCGAAGCGGTTCATAATAACGTATAAATTGCCGAAGAGGTGCGCTAACATGGTATCCGGATTTTGCTAAAGCGACTCATTGCCCAGCACTACTTGCTGGTGACGCATTTAATCATAACTCGAATCATAACTCGTGTTTCTTTGCCTGTCATTTCACTGTACACACGTGATGTACGTGATTGATCCTTTATTTCTTTTTTGTTGGGGTTTTTTTTTACGGAGGAGAGGAGGGGGGGGGGGGCATAATATATAGAGTACATGTCGACTGCTTAGTACAAGATTCCCTCATACATCACTTTTCAAAAAGGCGTATAGTGGATTCTTACTTTATGCCGTCGGAGTAATTGCTGACAAGGGGAAAAAAATGATAAAAAAACGCTCGTGGTCATATATTCGGTCCTTTCCTTTGTGAAGTATCGGTTAAAAGGTTGAACACGAATAATTGAAAATAGAGTGCTGAAGCTTATTTTAAACGCTTTCTGGAGTTTGTCTGACGTAGATTTACAAACGTTTCTGGAATTTAGACCGTTTATCAAGAGACAAAGAGAAGAATTCCCTGAAGAAAAATCAAGGGTTATTTTTTCCTGCATTTTAAAAAGCACTTTTTCCCCCCCTCTATTTTTGTTCGGCACGAAATCTTGTTACCTTGGGTTATCACCTCCGCTGTGTCAGATTCGCCTTGACGAAGGATCGAATCCTGCGCTGAGCAAATCTGGCGTCAGTTCAGGGGAAGAGTAAGGCGAGAAAGATCGCTGATGTGAGTGATGAAAGATGTCGGGGCCACTCAGTTAATTACTGGAGACAGCCTGGTCAATATCTAGTTATCGTGTTCCCTGTCTCCGTGGTCTCTGTGAGTTCTTATTGCGCTCGGCAGAAAAGAAGGAAAGCCATGAGTTCTACGAGGCTTCAGATTCAATTCGTCATCTGTTCATAATAAAATACAGTTGAAATTGTCTAACATGGCCAATAGAGCTGGGCGAAGAATCAATTCCGGAACCGATTCCCACTATTAATGCTAGGGAAGAAAAGTTCCGACTCCCATTTATATAAAACAACGGTTATCATTTACTTTAATCATTCAACTTTTCTTCTTTTTTTTAAAGAATTTATTTTTGAAAAATAAAAGTTGATGCTTCGTAGTGTTCCGAAATCAAGGTTATCCTAAATCCTGAAGATGTTCGGAGCACACCAGGTAACCACCAGAAGAAATCACATAATAAGAAAGTAAGTAATTGGATTCGGAGTCGATTCCTACCATTCAGCTTTCAATAATTGGGAATCTAACTGCCCAGCACTAATGGCCAACCATTGTCAAGGAGAAAAAATGGTCGTATTAGACAGGTGGATGTTTTACTCGGTGTCATTATCGTGCTTAAAAAACGCAATAGGTGAATAGGTAGTGGCTGTTTGTACAGCTGATTATTTTTATACAGGTGGCCGTTAGAATAGGTTGGGCTGTATATTATGTGTGTATGTATGTAAATGTGAGTGTGCATTCGTGTGTGCATGTGTGTGAGTGAGTGTGTATGTATGTGTGTATGTATGTATGTGTGTGTGTGTGGTGTATGTGCGTGTTCTTGTGCAAGGAATAGAAACAGACTGTAAGACGCTAAAGAGCATTATGATTTTCATTTTCGACGTTAGCAAAGTTAATAGTTAGTTGTAAAATCAGAAAGCTTCTAGCGATACAAATTTACCTCGTGATGTTGACCTGACCCGTCTCTCCACAGAACGGCCGCATGGTATGTGAGAGACAGGACACAGAGGAGACCTGTCCCAAACTGGACTGTCCCAAGTCCGAGAGGTTTGAGGTCCACGGGCAGTGCTGTCCAGTCTGCAAAAGTACGTGCATTTTGTCACTTCATTGTCCACTCGTTTTATGGGCTTTAAGGCCTTCCATCTTCACTCTCTGTCTGTGTCTCTCTGACTCTTAGTTTCTCTTTCTTTAAATCTGTTTCTGTCTCAGTACCGCTCACTGTCTCTGTCTCTGTCTGTCTGTCTGTCTCTCTTTCTCTTTCTCCCCATCTCTCTCTCTCTCTCTCTC